CGCAGATAAAATGAAGTAACTCGTTAGTGCATGATAAATTAAATATTAGTTTTTTAATATATATATATATATATATATTTTGAAGCAATTTGCGTATATAATTTCTTTTTGAAAAAATTCACCATTTAGCGGTTTAGAAAATAAGAAAGTGAAAAAGAAAAAGGTAAATTGGGAAAATAGGACAAAGAAGACGGCCTAGGACCTGATTGATGATAATACAGAGAGAGTCATACTACACCAAATCTACTGTTCATCAGCATGACAGTAGGTAATGCGTGTAGTGCACTGCACCAGGTCTAGCCGGATCATGAAGCTGCTTGGCTATGCAACGCGGAATCTTCAACGTTTTAGCTAGATGACACACAGTAAAAAGCAAGAGTATCTCCAACAGTCTTCTTATCCTACTCTCCAAGTTAAATTTTAGCAATTTTAACTCAATTTCGCACTCCAACAACCTGGCTATCTGGATGGCCAAGCCATCTCGCTGGCCAAAGTCCTCCTCGAGCTGGCCAAATTTGGCCAGCCAAAATAGCCTAGCCAATTGTGGGCCTCACTCCGACAGGCACCCCTCACCCCTTTCTCTCTCCGCTACCGGCGTCGTCGAGACGCCATCGCCATACACCGCTGCTGCCGAGGTCGTCATTGCCGGGCGCCGCCGTCGTCGGCTCCGTCACCACCGTCGTCGGCGCCGTTGCCAGCTACCGTCGTCGGCTCCGTCGCTAGCCACCGTCGCCACCGTCGTCGGCTCCGTCGCCAGATCCGCTATAGCTGCCGAGGTCGCCGTCCGCTACCGTCGTCTCCGAGGTCGTCGTTGCCGGATGCCGCCGTCGTCGGCGCCGTCGCCAGATCCGCCCTGCGTCCACCCGAGCTTGGGGCCCTTGACGGGGGTCGTTCACCGCCCTCGCCGCCGACCCCATCACGACCTCTTCCTCCTCGTGTCCACCCCGCGCGCGCGTGCCGCCGCAGGAGGCGACGTACACCCGATTGGCCACCCCGCGTCCACCCGAGCTCGCCCCGAGCGGCGGCGACGGCGGGTGGCGATGCGGCGGCAGCGGCGGATGGGGATGGGCGGATGCCGGATGGGGAGATGGGGCGGTGGCGGCGGTGGGGGCTTGGGGAAAAGGGGGGAGAAGAATGAGGAAGAAGAAAGGGTTGCAGAGACTGACACGTGGGTCCCCTGTCATACACTCATAATAGAGAGGATAAATGGAGAGGCTGTTGGAGTAAACAATGTGTTTGACTTGCCAAATTAGACGGAGAGTTAGCCAAATATGTATTTGTAGAGTTAGATTTGGAGAGACTTTTGTAGATGAGCGAAGAGATAGAGACTAGATTACCTAAGCTAGTACCTTCACTTCACGTGCACAACCACTTCGATCTCGATCTATGACCTGCTTTTAATTGGTTAATTTACTCTTGGTGGTATCAAAATCAGGCTGTGGGTTCAAGACAGATTATGGGTTTTAATTTGCATGTAGACGACGATTTGTGGTTCTTGGGGCTGCAGGTGTTTGGCACATGATGTCTTTCTGTCGACGTATAACTAGAGGATACCCCGCGCGTTGCTGCGGGACATACTTAAAATTGAGTTGATGGGTAATATATGTGCATTCTCATGCTACAGAGAGAGAAACAGATGGATTTTTTGGATAATTTTTTTTTGGTGAATAGAGAGACCCAAAAATTCCAAATTTAATTTAGGTAACAGTAATTAGCTAAATCTTCAGAAGGATGCAGCTCATGGGTTAACATACAATGTAGTGTATTGTTCACTCAAATGCTGTCACCATGTAGCTTACACTGTTGAAGGTTTCAAATTGCAATATAATATATGGAGCGAAGAACAATTTATATTATTCAGTGAACAATTTATATTATTCAGTGAACTTTAGCCAATTAAAACACATTTTTTTGTGTCAAGATTTAGGAACACCTCAAAAGGTTGTGGTAATCTTCTTGCAGTCTTTCACTGATCCAAAGTCCAAACCACCAATTCTTTGTGTTTGATGCAGACCTGAAAGTGAGGATTGCATAGAGATAAGCGAACGTTGTAAGAACAAACTAAATGATACTCCTAATAAATATGGATTCAGAAATTTCAGAATACTGTTACCATCAGAAAGAAGAAAAGGTGCATTTTGTGCACAGAATATTAACATGTAAAGAAAGAACCGAAGCATGGCTAGGTGGACACGAAGCAGATCATTCTGATATTTGCATCAGTTGCTGGAACGCCTAAACACGGATCGCTTATAGTCTCATGTGAAGGCATATAAATCCATCCAATGAACCGTGCAGGTGGTGATGGTGTCCAGATCCATGAACTGGGATATACATTGATCTTAACGGAGGCCTACAAAGCAAAAAGGAATTGGAGAAAAAAATCAATCGGCTGTTGCAAAATCGATTGCTGCAAACAGTGAAAACAAACTAACGACCTGCAAGAAACTTCGAGGTTATCAAACAAAAGCATCCTTCATAAAAGATAAAAGTAAACTGATCGACTAATAGAGAGAGTCAGGATCGAACAAACGCAACGCTCAATGCATTAGGAGATCTAGACTCACGAATGAAGTTAGGCCACTGAGCGACGCTCCATCAGTTCCTCTCGTCGGTTTGTGTGTGCGGATGGCCACCGTCACTATTTAATATTTTATAGATCGGTGTTGCTCGAGTTAATCTGGTAGCCGACGGTTTCAGGAAAGGGAAACGTAGAGGCGGGAGAAGTGAAGAGGCAGGAAGGCTGTGATGGAATGCCGCTGCTGTAGTGCTGTTGGCAGCGCTCATTCGCTCTGGAGAATAGGATGCAGAACGATGGAGACATACTGGGCTGGATTGATGAGAGAATGGGCTGGGGGAGAAGAGAACATGGGCTGCGCTTGGACAGATTGATCTGGGACATCCAAGGTGTTGGCTGGATGGCTCATTGCCTCACGATTTAGATCCAACGCTCAAGAAAAATCAAGGTGACGTGGAAGCATGAGAAGGCTGGAAAATCACATTAACTACACTAAGTGGGGATCAATTGTATAGATTATATAGATGCACATGCACTTGTAGTTCCAGTGTCTCAATCTTTTATATATATATATATATATATATATATATATATATATATATATATATATATATATATATATATATATATATATATATATATATATATGCGCTAGTATGTCTTAATTAGGGCATCTTTGGATTAATTGGAGATAACATATATATGAGCAGTAAATAACGAAGAAAATGGGTGACATGTTAAGTTTGGATCATGTAGTACACTCTAAGATGTAGTAGTAGTAATGACTAAAATAATGCTTTCCTAACGGATGGGAATCTCAAGCTAAAAAGGAAAATTTACATCAGTCCCAGCCTAGATTTTCTATTAAAAAAAACCCAGAAAAACCTAGTAACCATATGGTTTCTCTACGTCTGCACTACGAGCTGATTTTCAATTATATATGACCATAAGCTTATAGCAAGTGATTGCTACTCCATCCGTTTCACAATGTAAGTCATTTTAGTATTTTCCACATTCATATTGATGAATTACTTATATTGTGAAACGGAGGGAGTAATTAGCACGTGCATGTTCCCAATGCGCACTCCTTTCCCCGTACATACTACGAAACTTTCAACTAAAAAATCATACAAAACTTTCCATGTGCCCTCATACTTTCATATTGACTCTAAAACTTTCACCCAAAAACAAAACAAAAAACTTTGTACTTAAATCATATACAAAGCTTCCGACTGCGCCCTCAAACTTTCATATTGAATTGGAAAAAGTATGATTTCAAAATCTAACTTTCATCTGAAATATCAAAGATTTTTATTCAACACATACAATTTTCAGCTTAAAATCAATTGAAACGGAACTTTAAACCGTGGCCTCAAACTTCCATCTTAAAATTTAAAAAAAATCAATTCAAAATCTCAAAACTTCCAACTGAAAAAAAAACAAAAAGTGTGTGCAAGTGGCGCAGCTATGCGAAATAGCCTTTTAAGCTGATGAATCAATGTGACAAATGTGCATGGACATTTTTAGTTAGGATTAATATAGGAGTTTTTTTTCTCTAGTCACTTGCAACACTAATAGGCTCGTTTGGTAGGGCTCCAACTACTAAATTTAATTAGGGAGAATAGCTAATATGGTCCCTAAAGTTTTGCTCCTGGGTTATTTTAGTCCTTAATCTTTCATATTGTCCAAACAAGTCCTTTAAATTTGTCATGTGGGCTAATATAGTCCTTGGTCCCACCAAAATCGTCACATGGACATGCCATGTCACATTTCTATGCAAAATCTATATGATTTGTCCAATTTACCGTTACGCATAGGAAAATAAAAAACAAAAGGAAAAAGTTAAAAAAAATATATGGTATATGTAAGAGCAAAAATATACCTCAAAAGGGTGAAAAAAGAAGTATATTTTTTTCTATGGTTATGTCTAATTCACCCTTATATTTATTTTTCTATGATATACGTAAGGGTAAATTGGACAATTCATCATAAATTTTGCATGAATGATGACATGACATATTCATACGATGATTTTGGTGGACCCAAGGACTATTCTAGGCCTTATGACAAAGGTTAAGGATTTCTTTGGACCATTTAAAAGGTTAGGGACTAAACTGATCCTACAGATAAACTTTAGGGACTAAAGTAGCTATTCTCCCATTTAATTACATAAGTTGGGTTTGAAGTAGAGTTATGAAGCTGTCAGCTCTACTTCTTCTTTGGTGATTCTAAAACCGTTTGATTGGACTCCAACTTCAGAAAAGGTGAAGCTATAGTTGGAGCTATGCCAAACTTACCCTAAAAATAACTTCCAGGCAAAAAAAAAAAAAAAGGAAAAACAAAAAATCCGATATACATATACATACGGTTGACCACTTGGGCTGGGCTGGGCCCCGTGGGCCTGGTTTGCGTAACGCGAGTGACGTATCTGCATACGTGGCAGTAGATCGTCCTTGGTCTCGTCTTCCCCCTCCACGTCGCCCTTGTTTATTTCCCACCAAACAAAAAAACCAAATCGCCGAGCAGCTTCGCGGCGACGCACCACGTCGGCCGGCCGCCACCGCCGGAGAGGGAGGGCCTCCCCGACCCTCCCCGCCAAGAAGGATCCTATGGCGGCGGGGGCGCACGCGTCGCGCGCTTCGGCTCCGGTAACAATTTCTCGCCATTTTTTTTTCTCGTTCTCCCTCGATCGAAACTGGCCTTTTTTTTTTCTCAACGTCATTATGTGGTTTAGTGGATCGGGATTTGATGGGCCTTGACTCAATCGACGGCGCCCAAGATTTTCTGGGCACGATTTTGGAAGGCGGTTCATGCCGTGGCAGTTTGGAATTTGGTGGTTCAGGAATTAGGACTCAACTGAGAACCTGGAGTAGGCATTTCCAATAGCTGTTGCTTTGTTCCTTTGTGAAATTAGTTACGTAAATGTTTCGTTCAGCTGAGGTGCAATCACTGAATCACTGAAGTTCATAGTTCAGTGAATGTTCTATATGGCATTGTTATGGAAAAGGAATTTAGTCCTTCCTAATGGCTAATGATGGAGCTACTGAACTAGCATGCTAGCTTCATTATAACATGTAGGAGTACAATTTGTATGCCTGTTCCAAAGCTCCGTAATTTTTCTATGATAATCCTGTCTAACTGTGAACCAACCTAGACAGTTTCTTGTGGTACTTGCGATATTGGCTCACACAGGCTACACAGCAGATTTTTAGGACCTCTACAACACCATGCTACTCGCGGTATTATGATTTATACCAGAATTTCTGTTCCATCTAAACAGTTTGCATAACATTTAAACAGGCCATGAGTTAGTTTGGAAATATAAATTATGGGTAATTCTTTTACTGTCGTAATTCAAGTTTCTTGGAATAATTTCCAAATTATGATCGCTTTCTTGGTCATTGACTGTGCAATTAAGTTTATTCTATTTATATGCATCTTTCTTATTGGCACTATTGAGGCTTATGGAACAACCAACTTACCTGTGTAATGGAATTCAGATCATTGCAGGTCTCACAGGTGCTCTTCGAGCAGCATATAAAGGCAAGTTGTCTGAGAAGAACTGTTTTTCTGGCATGATTTAACAATTCCTAATTTTCCACTAACTAGTTGAAACCAGTCACTTATCAGGATTTTCTCCTCAGTTATGCAACTTCCATGCGTCAGTAAATAATGGACTTCTCCACAGAAGGAAAATACAACTCCATTTTATATGCTCTTTTCGCTCCATACAAGCAAGATATAACCATTCGTCAGCTGTTGCACCTAAGGACTATTGCGAAACTTACATCCAGTTTCTAAGAGATAAACAGATAGTTCCTGATTCAGATCCTCCAAGTGCTAAGGATGTGGACCTACTTTACCGGTTTATTGATCAGAGGTAGGAATCTGCCCTTGAACATTTTTCAACATTTTTAGCTATGTTTCAAGTGAGATTAACTTCGCTATCTTCTACTTGCTTCAGTAAAAAACTCATGGTGTTAACTGGAGCAGGAATGAGCACTGAATCAGGAATTCCTGATTATAGGAGGTACACTTAACCCAGTTGCCAGACTTGCCATGTTTCTATGTACTATTCTAACATGCAGAATTTTTGTTTGGTGGCAGCCCTAATGGTGCTTACAGTTCTGGTTTTAAACCACTTACTCATCAGGTGTGACCCTACTTCTGCTTGTCAAATGACAACTATTATCATGCTTTTTTACTTCTTTGTGTCAAATGATAACTATTATCATGCTTTTTTACTTCTCTGACAGAGGTGCATGGAGATTTTTCTCTCATTATGGAGCTATTTTAAACTCATATGTCCTAAGTCAGTGTTTTTTCTAAAAAAATTTCATTCCTAAGACTAACAAAGTTGTGCACTCTCTGTTTCTTGACATATATTATCCATGTGAAAAGCTCATAAAAAATGCTACTTACATTAGTCGTTTTTTCTTTACATCAAGAGCTTTTTTAAAATAAGTTCAGACTGTTATATTTGTATTCATTTTTTCTGAGCAGAACTTATCTGGATACTTTACTGAAATGCTGATTTAAAAATGATTTTGGCAGGCGATTTTAAAATAATTCACATGGAGAAACCATTGAAAACAAAAAAAAAATCTATCATTAAGGAACATTGATGGACCTACTAGAACTTTTAATCCTCTGGCATGCTTTAATCTTTAATGTAATTATTTTTTTGACAATTGTTTTGTGGTTTTTGCAATTTTATGTTGTATTTCGTTCATGAATGCTTGCATCAACTTCTCCAGAGCTTGACAAAATTCGGTTCAGATTATGATTCACCTAAAGAACAGTAAAGAAACCTTTTACTGTTAAGGAACACTTATCAGATCTATATAGGTCTCAATTTTTTCTGGCATGAACCTTAATTTGAGATGTCATTGAATCATACTATATGATTTTCTGATAGTAAACTTAGTTTCTGCAACATATGTACCAATGTTCAGTAGGAAATCATGCTAGTAGCCCCTAATGCTCTCCTCATTTGTCCAAATCAGCTTACCAGTGATTACACCCTTCCAACTTTACTATTTGTAGGAGTTTGTTCGTTCTATTCGAGCCCGAAGGCGGTACTGGGCTAGGAGCTATGCTGGATGGAGAAGGTTCAGGAGAGCACAACCAAACTCAGCCCATTATGCTCTTGCATCACTGGAGAGAATTGGCCGGGTACACTCAATGGTTACTCAAAACGTGGATAGGTAATGGGCTGGATCTATGTCATTGCGGCGTAGTTGAGAATGATAATGTTATTTATTTCTCACCTTCACTTTTCACGTATGTATTTAAGGTTGCATCATCGTGCTGGGAGTAAGCCAGTTGAATTGCATGGAAGTGTGTATGAGGTAGCATGTTTAGACTGTGGTACATCCATTGACCGAGAATCATTCCAGGAGCAGGTCAAGGACCTCAACCCAAAGGTTTGCCTGTTTGATAGTTGCTTTTTTTTTTCTTTAAGCTATGTTCATTATATCAGTAGTATGTGCTGTACATATGACAGAAATTCAAAAAAAAAATATTAAATAGGTGTTAATGTTGACAGAAATTAAAATATTTGATAACTGAACTCTTGCATTTGATGCTATAATTGTTCAATAAATCAGACTTACAGTACATGAGTATAGGGAAATGATGTCATTTTCTGATCAAAGTTTCAAGTGAATCAATGGTTCTTACTCCCCTAATATGGACTATATTTCAGTTTTGGGACGAAGCATAATATATATTGCTTTATCTGCAGTGGGCTCTAGCTATTGACAGTTTGGAAGTAGGACAACCGGGCTCAGACAAAAGTTTCGGAATGCAGCAGCGACCTGATGGTGATATTGAGATTGATGAGAAGTTCTGGGAGCAAGATTTTGATATTCCTAGTTGCAACCAATGTGGTGGAGTGCTGAAACCTGATGTGAGAATACTCTCCTACCTTATGGGAGTACTTTTAGTTATTTTTTTTTAAAAAATCTCACGTATAAGTATTCGGCATTGGTTTATTGCAGTTTGAATGAGGAGTATGACAGCAGGCCATATTAGTTAATATTTTTATAACATTGATTTTTCATAATCAAACAAGGCCATCATTCCAATATATAATCCATTTTCAAACTTGATTTCCATGGTTTGCATGCATGCAGTCTTTCATTGGTGTGCATCTCTAGCAGTTCTTTTTTCGGACAATGTTTCTCTTACACTGTACAAAATTCCCTTTTTTTTCCTGATATTTTGGCAGCAGCTCATGTTACCACTTCGGAAAACAGCAAACTTTCTTCCTTCACTATTTAAAGTGATTGTTCACGTGTGTTCTGATATTTGAAGGTTGTGATGTTTGGTGATAATGTTCCTGAAGAGAGAGCTGAAAGCACTAAGGAGGCTGCAAGAAATTGTGATGCTCTTCTAGTGGTTGGTTCAGCACTAATGACAATGTCTGCTTTTAGGCTCGCAAGGTACCACCCGAAATATTATTCAGCCACCCCCTTGTATAAATTTAGACCTAGTTATCATCTGTTGAGAACATTTTTTTATGAGAACAAAAGATTGATGATAAATCCAATCCTAGGCTTGCACATGAAGCGAATGCTCCAATTGCGGCGATCACCATTGGTGAGACCAGGGCTGATAGTATTTTATCCTTGAAAATTAATGCAAGATGTGGGGAGGTTAGTACTTTCATCTCATACTTATTTTTTGTAATGCACCATATGACTCACTGCATTTCTCCCTTGCTGTAATGCCACCATCTTCTTCAGATACTGCCCAGAATACTTCAGATGGGAAGTCTAGCTGTACCAAACGTAAGTTAAGCTGGTGCTGCGCAGTCATCTTTGTCGGAAACCATGTTTCCATGTAAGAACAATTCTTTGGAGAACAAACAAGTCACAAGGGAAGACGAAACAATGAAAGAAACTTTTAGCAACTAATTAAGTTCAGTTCAACTGGGCAGAATATCATCTCCATCCTGTTTGCATGAGATGAGGGAGTTAACCTTGTTAACCCTGTTGTTGTAAGTGTGTAAACCTTAACCTTGTTAACCCTGTTGTTGTAAGTGTGTAAACCTTTTTCAGTGACAATTCATTCAAATGTTTCCAAAGATATGGATATCCCGAACTGATCAGCACATTGAAGAAGTACAATATGCTTTGATAGTTCCTTGTAATGTGTCATTAAGCAGAAGTTGAAAAACGTTCTAGCTGGTCCGGATATTTGGATTCATGTAGTCTATTGTGCTCTTCACCTGTTCATCTCTGCAGATTCTTCGTTGCAAAAGGTCTTTTTCACTTTTCAGAATACTAATAACATGTCCTTACGTTGTAAAGGATTATGCCTTTATAAGTAGTCTATGCAGATTCTTCGTTGCAAAAAGATCCTTTTCAGAATACTACTATACTAGTAACCGTACGTTGTATTTTTACGTACGGAATTACGGATACGTATACGTTACTCACAGGACAGAGTTACTCACACGACAGAAGAATCTATCATGTACTAATAACATGGTTAAATTTAATAAGGAAAAAAATCAAATGACTTATAATATGAAACGGATGAAGTATGACCCTTCTCACAGGGCTCAAAGGAGCAAAACAAGCTGTAAATTTCAAATTTGAGTTGAAGATATTTTTGCCCTTAAACTTTTCCTGAAGTCCATTTTTTTATACCATAAACTACAAAACCATTTATTTCACTGTTACCTTTTAAAATTGGACGAATAACGGCCTATATTGATTTTGATTGAAATAAGGGTGGTTTTCGACGCTAGTGCAAAAACCTATTTTATATGTTTTGCTAAATTTTACCTGACTAAGTCCACATTAATGAAAACTATCTAATAATTGTTCACCACTAATTGTGCGCGTGCGATTCACATCCGGTGACATATATTTGGAAATATAAAACCAATATAACGGTGTAAGAATATTTGGAAAACATATACGAATCCACCACTTATTACCCCCAAAGAATTTACAATGAAGATCCACTCGAAATACTTTTTTTTTTTTTTTGCCGGGTCGGCCGAAGGAACCGGCGACCAAATTTCATTAAGATTGGGAGGAAAAAAAATCAAAGTACAAGTAGTTCTCGCTTGCAACGACAGGAGGCTGTCGAATTAGACTGTGGCAGGAACCACAGCCCGGCAAACTAAAGAACTGGAAACGTCAACACAACAGAAAGAAAACTAAGAACTGCAATTCTCGAAATAGCCTGCTTCTTTCCACACTAAGATCTCTTCTTTGATAGCCTCTGCTAACTGGTTAGGGCTTCTCGATCTTTGGTCGAAAACACGCGCATTTCTTTCCTTCCAAATCTGCCAGCAAATCAGCATACAAGCGCTGTCGAAGTTTGTCCTGTAGCACTTCCGAAAACATGTTCTGGCCTGCAACCACCACTCTGTCAGGCATGTGTTTTCGCTCCCAGGGATGGGGAAGTAAGCACTGATCCATTGCCGCATCAGTCTCCACACACTCGAAATAAGCACTGATCCTGTAGCACTCGAAGTAAGCACTCGAAATACTTAGAAACTGGCCATTAATTTGTGCCATTAAGCTGCTCAGATCTGTGTGGTTTCAGTCAGAAAGAAGACTCTTGACAACTTAACTGATGATGTAGATGGTACTTGCACCTCATCCAAGTCACCGGGAGATATCCTGCCAGTATCATCCAGAGTTCCTAGATCAGAGAATTCGGACCAGTCAATCTCGATGTGCAGCTATGATAAATGAAGTATCAGGACAACAGGGAAGATAACCAATGCAAGTATTACAAGGCCAGAAGACAAAGTATCTGAATTTGTTCAATAAATCGTTCTGAATGTTGATGGTCGCCCACTCGCCCTTCTTTAGCTATTGAATCTTGTCAAAGCAATGTCAGATGTTCAGAAGAGAAAAAGAAACAAACAGGGCTCAAAACACAGGCAATGCTAGTTCCAATATCGGCGGCCACAACATCCCAATTTTTCTTCTAAAACGTTGTCTGGAGAACGAAGCAACTAGGAACATGTTTAGCTTTGTGATGATTATCGAAGCAGAAGGCACAATCAGCAGTAAACCTAAGACATCTCCAAACAAACAAGAAACTAACGACCCTCCATTTTAACACAAAGATATGCAAAACCTTATGTCTATACCAAAAACACCCCGCCAAAGTCCACAACATCATAAACCGAGGCCAATCTTGTGTTGATAATGGACGGACGATCGGTCAGGCGTAACATCGGTGGATGCTCCTGCTTCATTCAACATATTTCCTACCATCACGACCTGAGATTCAAATTGCAGACAATAACAAAACATCAGGCCGTGTATCATTTTTACCATCTACATGTAAGTATGTAACCAAGTACTTGTTGCAACAAATAACATCTCCAATAACTGTAGAAACTTCTGTAACAAAGTAACTGCAGATTTCTAAAATTTAGCTAATATGAAAACAAGTTCAAATATTGAGAAGGATTCTTTACAAGTTATCCAGGTGAACTACTAATGCTGAAAGTATAGCAGAATACATATATCCACATCCAACTATCCAAGCAAGCCATTAATCAGCCAAGAAAATTTTAATAGGTTAAGATTAAGCTCTGAACCAGTTTGATTTTCAAGCTGAACTAAAGCTAGCACCAAAATTTCAGTATATGACTATATGTGCTGTCTTATTTTAAGATGATGCTTAAAAATACTTTGATCAATCGACACTTGTATGGTGATGTCTTCCAATACATGTGGCATACATGTTGCCATGGCTAACTTATGTTCCCATAGTTGTGTTCCTAAAATTCAAGGGCACAGTAGCTATAATCATGGCAGAATTGTTGAGAGCGACAATGGGAAAGGATGTAACTAGCAGTGACCAAAGCCCTAAATTATGTAGTAAGATCAGGCATACAAAAGTACATACAGGATTGACAGGGCAAACAACAAGTCATTCATTACCTGATTGTAATTACTTCGAGAGCATGCTGCATATGAAATCAATGTTGAACGACAGCCCCTTGTATCCATCCTCCTTCTCACCCTTTGGATAGTTCTTGCATGATTTAACTGACTTGGCCCTCATGTCAACTGCGATCATCCAGACCTGATCATGGTACATATGTTTGTGCAGCACAAAGTGCACAATGTGTGGGTCTAGCAAGCTCACCACAGGATACTCTGGCACCCACTGATGCAAACCGTATTTCTTGAAGGATGCTGACCCCCACAGTTGTTTGACATTGAGCACATCATCCAACTTCCATACCATCTGTGGCATTTGCAGTGTCCATGTCCTGATGATGACGGCGAAGGATTGGGCGCGGCAATTGTCAACATCGACGAACTTGATCTTCCCATTAGAAACACCGGCTGTCCTGAAGGACTCAGAGTTCCCGCAGTTGTCATCTGGACCACTGACACCAAGCTCAAATTTTCTCACCGGAACAGGGAACTTGATCAACTGGAGCTTGGGTGAAGATTCCAGGACATCACAGTAGATAAGGCCAACGTCGTAGTCAGCCCAATATAATTTGCCGGCATAGGCGAAGGCGATGTTGCTCTTCCATTGGCGCGGCCCAAAATCCCCTTGCGAGTCAAAAGGCATGGCCAGGTTCTTGACAACCCATCTGCTGTCGTTGTTCTTGGTGTTGTCCTCATCTAGATCACTGCCAACTGAACATTGGAGCACGGAGAGCTTGGCCATCTCCTGGAGGTGCAGGATGGCCGCGGATCCTTCACCAGATTGCCACTCCATGAACGTCTGCAAAGATGCAACGGCGAAGCTGAAACCATCACCCGCGGCGGCGGCGTGGTTCAAGATGCCAATGTCGCCGGCCAAGCGCTGGCGGTTGTCGGGGAATCTGGGGAGGCGCGTCAGCGTAGGACAGAGGGCGTCGGCCAGCGAAGGCCTGAGGGCGTCGGCCGTGTAGACGAAGTACTCCTCCGGGTACTCGTGGTCGTACATGCCTTGAATCTTGACGGGGACGACGACAAGAAGGAGGAGGTGGGTGGCGTCCGCGGCGACGAGCGAGGACCGGCCGAAATACCCGTGCTCGAGGGTGGGGGGCATCACGGCCTCCGCGCAGTGCAGGTAGATGGAGGAGAGCGCCGGCGGCACGGCGAGGTTCAGCGACACGGAGAAGGGGAACCCCGTGCTCGTCCGGTGGCTGGCCCGGCCACCGGTGGCGGCGCCTTCCACGGGCTTGCGGACGATGAGGTCCGTATCGAATATGACGCCGCAGCGGGTGAAGGTGGACGGCCGGCGGCGGTGGTGCGGGGAGTAATCGACGACGGCGGGCATCTCCTCCTTCTCCTCCTCCTCCTCCTCATCGTCAGGATTCCAAGATCGGAGGTCTGGCATCTCGTCGATGCAGTCCATCCTCGCTCTTGTGAGAGAGGAACCCCAGGACGATTGCTAGGGATTTGATTTGGGGATGGGGAAAGGCGAAGACAGGAGAGTCTCTGCTAGTCTGCCTTTAGCGAGAAAAAGGACAGTATGCCACTCCAAAGGATAAAATGTCATTCAATAGATTACTTTCGGGATGTTTTACCACTTCGTAAGCTTTTAAGACCAAAATACCCCTAGCTGTGGATAGAGAGGAAGAGGGAGGAGCGGAAGGTTGACCCGGACGACGCTCATGCTCGCCGGCAGCAGGTGGCGAGCGCACGGGGGTGGGCTGTGATGGGCGGACAGGGGGAGGAAGATGGCGGCGAAGAGGGAGGAAGACGACGACTGTGATGGGGGAGGAAGACGGCAGTGTTTATCGGGAAGGACGGCGGCGGCGATGGGAGAGGAAGACGCCGGCGATGGGGAAGGAAGACGCCGGCGAAGAGGGAGGAAGACGGCGGCTGTGATGAGGGAGGAAGACGACGACTGCGATGGGGGAGGAAGACGGCGGCGATGGAAAAAAGGGAGGAGGGCAATGCCGACAGGAGGGAGGAGGAGGCGACGATGATGACGCGGAGGGCTCTCCATTGCTGCCCGCGCATGCGCTCACCCCCTCCGGTGCCACCCTCGCGTGCTTACCGGCGTCTTCTTCCTCTCCTCGTCGCCGCTAGCGGGAGCACAGACGGCGCTCGTTCTTCCCTCGTCACCGCCCGTCGCCGGCGACCACGGCCGCGCCGTTCGACTCCCCTCTCCGGCTCTCTCTCCCTTCCTCTCTCTCTCTCCATAGTAGGGGCATATTTGTCTTAAACCTCCTCAAAGTGGTAAAATATCCCAAAGATAATCTATTGAGTGGTATTTTATCCTTTGCAATGTATTGGGTGGCATTTTATCTAAACCCACCGAATGGAGTGGCATATTGTCCTTTTTCTCTCCTTTAGCATACTTATGTTTTTTTGTTATTATATTTTGAAACGAACGTAGTGCTTAATAAAAGATAAAAGAATAATAAGTATATATAAAGTGCTTATATTTTAGGATGGTGTAAATATATTTTAACAAACCTCATGTTTTAGTAGTCAAAGTTGTATAAAATCCTAAGTATTATGATCAGTAGCACAAAACGGTTATTAAGTTTAACAAAACATCACCCCTATATATATTTAGGAACTATTTTCTTAAAATTTTAAAACATTTAATGTATATAAAACTTTTAGTTGTTGATTTCTTTATTAAGGTTGTCAGTATAACTCTTCACTATTTTGAAAATTATTGTTTCATATAATGTTGAAACAACTGAATTTTAAATCAAGATGGAGTTTTAAGAAACATTCGAACCATAAAACCTGTGTAATATGTGTGGTTTCTGCAACTTTTATAATAAAATGTGGGGGGTTTTATGAAATTTACTTTTGTTCTTCGAGAGAGGTGTTAGACTGTGTTTTCGATAAGTAGAATTTGACACCTCAAAATATACTCCCTCATTCAAAAATAAACTAGCTTAAACAGGATGGGACATAATCTTCTATTTTCAATTTACTAAATTTGTGTCCCATACTATCATGTGAACCACGCCTAATGAATTTTAAATTAATGTAAAATAAAAAGGTTTAAAAAACAACATATTGTATAAAAATATTTGTGCGTATAAATTTTATATATAGAAATATATGTACAATGCAAACTTTCCAGATATAAAGTATAGAAACATCTTTTATAAAAAAATATTTGAATCTAAAATTCACATTTAAATCGAGAATATAAACTTTAAAAATTTGGTGTATCGAGTTTAGGTGTACAAACTTCGTATATATAAATTTGGAACAAATTTAGAAAACAACTTGGAAAACATTACAATCCAAATTTGATTAGATATAAAACTTTGGGTTTATAAATTTTAGACGTGAAAACTTTAGTCAACAAACTTTACATGTATAAATTTTAGGTGTATCAACTTGAGCTATATAAACTTAAAAAGACTAAATTTGAATTGAATTTAAAAAACATATAATAAACATGTGTGTTGGCTGAGGCCCAAGTGTCTGGTACTGGCCTAATCCAAAAAAAAAAAGGACAAAAACAAATAAGAAGAAAAAGAAAAAAGCCCAACACTCTAGGTGGAAATTTAACTATTTGCCACTTTTAGGTTTGCCAATTATCCAAATACCCCTCTTATATTTGCCCTTATTTTCTTGCCCCTCTTAGGTTGTGGCTTCTTAACTATTTGCCACTTTTACCCATGTGGCATGCCAACTTGGCAGCGCAGTGCAAAAATCGTCGTGGGACCCACTCGTCAGTCACACAACTCTCCCTTTCCCCTCTCTCTCCTGTCAGCCCCATCGTCCTCCCCTTCATCCCCGACTAGAGGCCGTGGTTGCGGCGGAGCACGGCAAGGCGGAAGTCTAACTCGCGGGCGCTCGCCTTCTCCTCCGGTGCCTCCCTCTCCTCCTCCCATGGCTCCCTATCGAGGGAGGCTATGTTGCATCGCTTCGTCTCGACGGTGGCGTCCCCCGCTAGCTCGTAGCCATAGAGGCGCTCAGCGAGGACGCCGACCACCGTCAGCGCAACCCGAGAGGAGGAGCCGAGCGCTGCTGCGAGTCCGACCTCCGCCTCGCCGTGCTTCGTTGTCCACCGCGAGCCGGTGCACCGGAGGAGGAGCCGAGCATCGCCGTGAATCCGACCTCCGCCTCACCGCGCTCCACCGTCCACCGCGAGCCGGCGCGCCGCCGCCGCTACCGCCGGGAGGATTCGCTGCCAGGAAAGAGAGGGTCGTCGGCGATGAAGGGGATGGCGGGGCTGACCGGAGAGAAGGGAGGTTGACCGGAGAGAGAGGGCTTCGTCATCCATGAGGAGCCGAGCGTCGCCGTGTGTCGGAGGGTGATCCTCTCTAGCGGGAGGCTGTAAGCCCCCCCTTTGTGAGTTTGGCCGGGGGACCAGGTCCAATACTGAGGAACGTGTTCTCGTGTGAGCGAGATGAATCTGCCGGAATCAAGCTTGCGAGGTGGAAGGCGAGAGAGTTTTTACAGGTTCGGGCCGCTATCAAGCGTAATACCCTACTCATGCCTGTGTGATGATCTTCGTGAGGTTACAAAGATTTCAGATCCTGGGAGTACCAGCTAGGGCTTGGCCAGCCTCTTCCCAGAATCCGGTTTTCTAAGAGACGTCCCCCTACTCGTAGGGCATGGTCCTCTTTTTATAGATGAAGGGGATACCACATGCATCGCCCCTACTCTCTCCCCATGGGAGTGGGGCCCACATTGCCTATATCAAAACACATATTGTACCTTGGGCCGGAAGCGATCTGCGCGTCTACTCCTGGGTGGTCCCCACTGAAACCCGCCAGCTGACACGGGAGACATCCCCCATCATTCGCTATTAAATGTTTAGCGACTTCATGGGCACACGCGCATCGGAGATGGCAATCTGCAAGACATCCCACTACGCACGATGGGACAGGGCATACCTGCCCCCACGCCGCCTGACGCGAATCGGGACGTGGGTGCGCTGCCGCCCGTCCCATCCATCCATCGCCGGGTCACAGTCTGGTCAAAAGGCTGTCGCCAGGCGCACGTCCATCGGTGAGCGGCGTACGCCCTTCCACGTCGCATTAAATGCGACGGGGGCGGTTGGTGCGCCGCTCATAAATGCGGCTGGCGGACAGCGCTCCCGCCTGCTCAAGCCCCCCGCATGGCCGCCACGTGGTAGCCGAGCGAGGGCCTCGGGGCGATCCAACCCCTCGGGCCCGAGGGGTGTGACGGGGCACCCCCGAGCCCGCAGGGGGGTGGAGGGGGGAAGACGACTGCTCTCTCGCTTTAGGGTTTCTGCCGGTATCGGCTAAATTGTTTTACTAGATTAGATTAGCTAAGGCATCTACCACCCAAAAAATCAGTCAAGGGCTTGATTGACTAGATATTATGTTTCTTTTCATACTTAGTGTTGCATCAGTTAAGTTTGATCTACTAAGTCGTGCTTAGAACCATAATCCCTAGCCCGCTTCTTGATTGCCAATAAGGGTTTCATCGGGGTTTCAGTCGATGAGGTATCTGGACGTTGCATCGGCTTACACGGATTGCATATAGATTGGATTTAGCCGATGACAACAAAGACTTTATTGTTTATCTAATCTTGTAGATTTTATGACATCGGATCTCCAGCCGGTGTATGTGTATACTTTAACCTTCAGGTCAGTGCTTATTCTATTATATCATACCGCTAGCCGATTGGTTTATACTGGATTATATTATTGTTATACTATACTATCATCAGTCGATTGCCTTTATATCATTATTTACTCAAGTATCAGAATCTACATTGGACATATAGCCAATAGCTCAAAACCCTATCACAATCGGCTGGTATCGGCATCGGCTGGAATTACTCCATCGGCTTGTCAGTCGATCGGCTCATTGATCTTCAATTTGTATATCTTGTCAGTTGCCAGGTCAAACTGACTGACACGCCCGCATATCACCAACATTTGGACCTGCACTGGAGCTAAGCAGATCTTCTAGGCCAGTGTGTGTTTTCGCATCAACACACATTTGGCACGCCCGGTGGGACACGAGTTTTGCACCCAACATGTCTAAAGAGGAAGTCAATGCCAAGAAGGAACAATCTCCTAAGTCGATGGTTGAAACATTTCAAGCTACAGTAGATGAAGCAATTCATCGTGCCTTGTTCGATCAATCTGAAGTTTTGGCAGATACATTGCAAAATTTGATCAAAAGGACAATTGATGAGTTAATTGTTCAAAAACGCCAGCTCGGGGACAGATTGAAGAACAACAACAATATCGGCTCAGGTGGCAAACATATCGGTATCAGCATGATGAGGCATATCAACAATATCGGCCAAAAGGAATTCAAGGACATCAGTATGGAGAAGATTTGGCCAATAGAATTGCAAAATTAACAGAGGAACAGTTTGGACTTAAGCCCAAGGAACAAACTTCTGTGTATCGGCTGCCATATCCTGAGTGGTTTGGTAGGGTTCCATTGCCACAGCGATACAAGGTTCTAGATTTCTCCAATTTTTCAGAGCAAGATAATATATCTACAATGGAACACATCAGCAGATTCTTAGCGCGATGTGG